GGCATATCAATAGAGATGCAGTACAAACCCAGAAACATGTTCATTTTATAGTATTGCTTATCAAAAAGGAACAGAGACAGATATACAGTATGATCAGACACCAAATAATGTTATATAATCAGTGTCACAAGAAAGATAGAGACCGAAATATTGCTGTTTTCTGAAAGCTTTGAAGCAGTCTCGAAATACGACATCCTTAGCATGTAGTCCACAAGAATCCGGTTCAGTTTCGTATTGTTCCACTCAGTAATATTCTCCACATCTGCTGATTCCAGATGATCAATGCGAGCTCGGCATCTCTGAGCCTGCAAATTCTCCACATTGCTCCCTTCGTCCAACTGAATAAACAATACAAACAACCATGTTAGAAGAGTCAGATGTGCTTGAGTTGTTAAACCCCAAATTTAAACAAACATAGGGTCCTCAACTCCTCCGAAATAACTTTGAACATATCATTTTATATAATGAAGCAACTCGGTTTCAGTACACCACATTGGAAAATATATTCCCTTTAAATTCAACACCCATCAAGGAACAAAAACCACATAAAAGAAGAAAAAAATCTGGAAGAAGATGCTAAACTACTCATTCTGAAAACATATCCACTCAAAGACTCTTAAATAACATCAAAACGTAGCATTTAATCAGCTCAAATGACTTAAGCATAGTAAGGCTCTTCAGGTGAAACAACTACATTACATGCCCTCTAATCTGAAAAACATATCCACTCAACCTCCACACTCATCAAGATCCATACGTGTAGCGGTCATCTTCTTAAATTGCCTAATACAATTTCTTGGTATATCAAAATCAACGAAAGCATTATCCAAGATCAAACGAGATCCAATGTTTTACTGTTCTTAATGGGATTGTTAAGTACATATCCACTCAAAACTCATCAAGATCCAAAAGCATAGTGTTAATCTTCTGTATAGTAACTAAATTGCCTAATACAATGTTAATCCAAGAGATTCAACCTTTCGTTTGAGACCTTGGAGACGAGAAACCAGGCCAGTGAGACGCGAAACGGCGACGTCTTTGGACCAATCGTTAACAGCCAAATCTCCGACGCTGGAGACGACGGAAGAGACCTCTTTCTCCAAGGAGCGGTGATTGGCGCGGATCGTCTTCTTGTAATGCTCGAACGGCACGCGGAGGAGCTGGTGCTCGAGTTTGAGCGATTCCGTCAATTGACTCGATCTAGACGATGGGACGGGCCGTGACGGAGTGATCGCGGTGGGAGTGGCTTCCGTCATCACGGCGTCTGTGTTTCCGTTAGTTACGGGATCGATTTCCATGAGGGGAGGGAGGTTAATGGTTGGTTGAGAGAAACGAGTTTTTGCCTTTCGTGGTGAATCCTTTATGATGAGAAGAAATACCACTCGGAGAAACGAAATAGCGACGTCGTTTTAAGAGCTTTATCGCGCTTTGTTCACATTTAACCGTCCGGTTTGATCGATACCGAACCGAAAAAGATTCAGAGCCAAATTAGGTTTCGTTTTTTTTTTTTTTTTAACAAGCCAAATTAGGTTTCGTTAAATGGATAAAATGCCAATTACACTTCATTTTGTTGTGTTATCTAATTATTTTCTTAAATAATAAAACAAAAAAAAATTTCCAAATTATTTAGAAGTTTGTTTTTCAAAAAAAAGAAATTGGGAACACTAGCCTTATAATATCGAGAAAACTGTGAGAACAAACCTCAAACTTAAAAAAAAAAGCCAAAAAACCTTCAATTTGTGTTTGAGCAAAAAAAAAATATTCGTACTTTCAAATATTGGTTATTTTAACTCACATTTTTTGTTGATTCGGTTATTTTAAAAACCTGAAAAAGTTAATTATTGAATATGTAAGCGTATGTTAACAGTTACGTTAAATAGTATCGATAAAGAAGGTGATGATGAAGATGATATTGCGATTGATTAGAATGATAATGACTCCGAGAATAATGATACTGATGCCAAAGAAGAAGTATTAATAAATTTTTAAAATGATATTGTTTAGCAAGTTAACAGATGTTTACTAATTTAACAATTGACTTTTGTGGGTTTTTAAAATGGCCAAATTAATTAAAAAAATGAGAGTTAAACGACCAATATTTGAAAATTGGAGTATTTTTTAGTCAAACATAAGTTGAAAGTTTTTTGACTTTAATTTGAAAGTTCAAGTTTTTTATTGTTTTCTATTATAATATCTTTTAAAATAATTTTTTTTAAATCTGAATCATGAATGCCTTCATGAACAAATCTTTACGGAACATATTTTCTTAATAATTGTTTAGGAAGACCTTATGGTATCTTTCGAATTTTTAAAAGAAAAATCAATTCATGAAAAAAATGATTTTTTTTTTTGAAAAATGAATTTAAAAAGGGTAAATATTTCAAATAGATTTTTAAGTTTTTATCACAAAATAGACCTCAAAAACTAAAATAACCAAAATAGCATTTTTATTTGAAATTTTAAGTTTTTTTATTTTTTAAAAATTTGAAATTCTACCCCCAAAACTCCACTCCTCAACTCTAAACAAAAATGTATGGGATTAGTTAACCCAAAGAATATAAATGTATATTTAGTTATTTTTGATAATATTTCAGTCTATTTTAGTCATTTTTATTTTTAAGGTATATATTTGTGACAAAAAAAAAACTTTTTTAATCTATTCTATGGATTTTCTCTTAATAAATGATTTTTTATTTAATATAATTGAAGGAAATTGTATAAGTGTCATTTGTCTCTTTAATTAAACTTACTTTAATTACCCTAACTCTTGTGGGCTAGTTATAGAACACAAGTATATTTTGGGACTTCCCTTTTATGTTAATATTTTTATTTTCTTATATATTGTTCTAAAAATAAAAAAATTTGGCTTAATAATCTAGTTTAAATTTTTTAACCCTCACTTTTCTTACATAAAATAAATTTAAGAGATACTCACATCTATGATTCGAAACTTTAAAATTGTACGACCTACATCCATTTATACGGATCAAATAGAAAAAAAATTACGGATTATGAGTTAAATTTCTAGTTTTATTAAAAGATCTTTGATTTTTTTATTGGTATAAATAGCTCTTTTCTGCTTCTATGTTTTATTAAAAGATCGTTGATTTTTTATTGGTATAAATAGTTTTTTTTAGCTTCATGCTTTTGAATTTGATCTCTTTGGGCTTACAGATTTCTTTGGGATTTGCTCGTCTAAAAGTTTTCTTTCTAGTGTCTGATTTGTACTTAAAAGGGGCTTGTAAATTTAGGGGTGAAGTTAATGAAAAAGGAAAGTCTATCAAATGTAATCAATAACAACACATTTCATTTCTCAACAACACATTTCATTTCTCAACAGCACATATCCACACTTGGAGTAACAGAGTGGATAAGAGTAGTGACCAGATTCCAGAGTATATATACTATCAAAACTCAAAAGTAAGAAAAAAAACTCTAGCCGCCACTTCAGCTCTCTCACCTTAACTCTCTTTGCAAAAACCTTAGCCGCCACTTCAACTCTTCCTCCGGTAGCGGCGCTGTGCCGTTGCCGGCGGCTCTCCTCCTTAATCTCTCTTTTTCTCTTTGCCTCTTAAACTCCTCATCCCCTTTTCCAACATGTTAAGACTCTAGAGAGCCGTTCTATCATCAGATTTTCAATCACGGGACGCCGGCGACGATTCAGTTCGGTGGACGTGCTTTTCCGGAGTGGCGACGAGGCTTAGGTGGTTAGGATGTGGCGAGGTCGGCTTTTTCGGTGGCTAGATCTGGGTCAACTTTTTTCCTTTTGTTCGATCTGGGTTTCGCCGGAGCTCGTGGCGCGTGGTGCTCCGATTAGGCTCTCCTGGCCCGGATCTGCTCGGATCTGCGTCGGTGTGGGGTGGTGGTGTTGACTCTTGTTCCTCTGCCTTGGTGTCTCGGTGTAGGAGGAGGCTTCTACCCCATCCAGTCTGGACTTCGATGGTGTTCTCTCCTCAAGGTGTGCGTGGGTTCAGCTTCCTCTAGCGGTGTCATTTGAAGCTCTCCGGCGGCACGTGTAGAGTCTCCGGCGAGGTGATGTGTGGAGTTGTCCATGCTTTGGCATCGTCTTTCTGGATCTCTGCTTCAGTCTTGCCTATCTCATCATGGCTTTGTTTGTGGTCTTCTTTTCCTCCAGAAGTGCACATTTTGATGGTGAAGTCTTTGGGTTCTGTTCTTGATGGTTGGTAGCCTCGACAGTCACCGTCTGGCTACATGATAATGCTGTAAGAACCTTCCTCTTGTTCCAAGAGATGGAGTGCGTGGGCGTTTGTTGTGGTGCGTGAGTCTCCGTTGCCTAACTCATTGTCCGTGGCGGCGCACTGGATTGACGTCTTTCCCAGTATCGGAGTTTGGCTTTTGCAAGCTTCGATAGGATGTCTTCCTTCTTTTTGCAGGTACCCCTTTCCACAAGTCAAAGTGGTCACAACTCAACCGGCCTTTGTACAAGATGGGTCTTCTCGCCATGGCGTCCCAACCCGATGGTTTCAGGTATGAAGCTCTCGAGTTTGTTTACCCGTCTTCACATTTAAATGGAAGTTGAGATTGCAAGCGTGAGGCGATCGTCATGAACTAGCTACGTTGGTGATGGCATAAGATGAACCGGCAACCGAGGAAACAAGGTGAACGCCATCCTCAAATGCTTACCATCGCCGTTTGAGAATGGGGATTTGACAGTCAGATGTTGACGGATCTAACTAGCGGAACGCGTCGGTTTAGAGGTGGTTGAGCGAAGCTAGGGATAAAACGTTTAACATTAGACCATTTTGTTCAAATCACGTTTTTAATCGATGCTTTAATTCTCGTTTTCGGGTAGATTAATAATATAAATATTTAATTTAAAAAAAAAAAAAAAACTCAAAAGTATGAAGTGGTGAATGTTGTTACTATTACAAGAATCAAAGGTCAAACCATTAAAAAGTCAAAAACAAAGAAAAAAAAAAATATATATATATATATATATATATACAAAAAGAAAAAGAAAAACACCATAAACTCCGACGGCCGCAAGTATCGCAACTTTCTCTCTCTAGAAACCCAAATCCAACGTCTCCGTTTCTCTCTCTTCAAACGCTTCTTCTTCTTCTTCTTCTCCATCTCTCTCTATATGTATTAATAACCCTTTTCTAATCCTCTCTTCACCTTCATTGATCTGAAACTCGAATGATGGATTATCATTCTAAACCAAGTTTGTGAAAAGATTCAAAAAAAAAGAACCTTCTCAATTTTTCATCAGGTAAATCGAAAGTTTCCGTCTTTTTAAATCTTTACCGATTATACTCTCTCATCAGATTCATGGGTTATCGTTAAAATCTTCAGATTCCTATTGGGTTTGTTTCATATGTTGTTAAAGTTCAAAACTTTATTCATTACGATTCCTCCCTTTGTCTGAATCTTACATAACTAATGTTTTTTATTTTGTGGAATACAGATTAATGTTGTTGACATTTGTATCCTGGGTCTGTAGAGTTGGAATCGAGAAGAAGAAGATTGTGTCTGATCATAATATAGTTATAAGCACTGATTTAATGAACGATTTGATAGCTGGTTCCTTTGGTTAGAGAACATGTGAGTAAGTTATGGTATCTACAACATTCAGGAGAATTGTGACACCTTGTTGGAGACCTTTTGGTGTTGGAGAAGGTTCGGTTCCAGATGATGATGGACGTCTTGATGGTCTCTTGTGGTATAAAGATTCCGGTAACCACCTCACCGGAGATTTCTCTATGGCGGTGGTTCAAGCAAACTCCCTTCTTGAAGACCATAGCCAGTTAGAGTCTGGTCCTATCAGTTTTCACGAGTCGGGAGGTCCTGAAGCGACTTTTGTCGGTGTTTATGATGGTCATGGAGGTCCTGAGGCAGCTCGGTTTGTGAACGAGAGGTTGTTTCACAACATGAGACGGTGTGCGTCTGAGCAAAGAGGAGTCTCTCCTGATGTGATCACCAGAGCTTTCGTGGCGACGGAGGAGGAGTTTCTTGGTTTAGTGCAGGAGCAGTGGAGGAACAAACCTCAGATTGCTTCTGTGGGAGCTTGTTGCTTGGTGGGTGTTGTTTGTAATGGGGTGTTGTATGTTGCAAACGCTGGAGATTCTCGTGTAGTTTTGGGGAGGCTTCAGAGTCCGTTTAAAGAGATGAAGGCTGTTCAGCTATCCTCGGAGCATAACGCTAGTATTGAGTCTGTGAGAGAGGAGTTGCGTTTGTTGCATCCTAATGACCCGAATATAGTGGTGTTGAAACATAAAGTCTGGCGTGTGAAAGGGATCATACAGGTTTCAAGATCAATAGGTGACGCGTACCTAAAGAGAGCAGAGTTTAACCAAGAACCGTTGTTACCTAAGTTCAGAGTTGCGGAACGTTTTGAGAAGCCTATAATGAGAGCTGAGCCGGCGATAACAGTTCATAAGATTCACATTGAAGATCAGTTTCTTATATTTGCATCAGATGGTTTATGGGAGCATTTAAGTAACCAGGAAGCAGTTGATATTGTCAACTCTTGTCCACGCAATGTAAGAATTTTTTTTTTTTTTTCGTTTTTCTCACATTATCAAGATTTGCTCTTTTGATGTTTTTTGAGTGAATGTTTGTGTGGTCTCTTTAGGGTGTGGCTAGGAGGTTAGTGAAAGCTGCATTACAAGTAGCAGCAAAGAAGAGAGAGATGAGGTATTCGGATTTGGAGAAAATAGAACGTGGCATTAGGAGACACTTTCATGATGATATCACTGTGATTGTTGTTTTTCTTCACTCTGCAAACTTAGGGCTTCGAACTCGGGTCTCTGTCAGGGGAGGTGGTGATCTCTCAGGCAATGCCATTTTCTAGTCTTTTTATTTCGTTGTTACTCACTTTCTTTACAATATTTTTTTAATAATCTTTTGGTTTGTCTGATACTTTGTTTAAATTATTTTCTGAACTCAAATTGTAAATTTTATTTCTTTAAACCAAAACTTTATGGTAAACTTATGTTCTTTTACGCTAAAAGCGAAAACTTAACAACAACGAAACAAAATTTTCTTTTATCGACTGTTTAAAAAATTAGTTTAGATATTCAAAAAATTGGTCCATACATATGCTTAAACAATAATCTTCTATAAGATGACTGATCAAACGTCTAAAGATTTTTTGAACATTGAGCACTACCAAGTAGTATTAGAGAGCCTTGACCTGATTAACATTGACACCAATTTTGAAGGGCCTTCACTAGTCAATCATAGTAAATGTTGCATATGGCTCATCCATAGAGAGAGATTTTCGATTTTTGTATCCTTTCGTCTGAAGATCAAATCTTCCATATACAAAGACTGAAGCTTACACCGAAGTGAAAAATACAAGAAGCGAGGCCATGTAGAAGAGATAATGTCACCAAAGATTTGTTACATTATTTAATTTATATTGTAATCGGAAAGTATTGAAAAAGCATCAACTGTATTTTATCATCTCATGAGACCAAAGCAAGTCTCCAAACTAGAACGAAACTGCACCTGCTTGCTTTTCTTTCCTCCATGGCCCATAAGTTGTTGCTTGCTGCTTGAAAACTCAGTGCATGGTGAGCGAGGAGGAGCAATGTGATTGAGATATTATACAAAACCAAACCAGAGTCTAAAGCATCATAAGAGTCTTATAGTGCTTGCCCAGCTAATTTCGTTTTGTATCCAGAGAGAGAGAGATTAGTTATACCTTTTGTGGCTGGGCAAGTCTTCCATTCTTATGTGTATATACTGAATGCAAAAGCCAGAAAAAATAAAAACGTTGTTGCTACTTCTTCTTCTTTAGCAATACTCTCATTATCTGTCTCATATAAACAACTAAAGACCATACAGAGAGCCCTGCGGATACATAGAGCAACCCAATACCAGACGGTAATAGCCTCTCAAAACTGCTATCCCGGCTGGCAAGAAGTATGGTTAACGCTATCATCTGCGTTGCCGTTTTCCACTTTCCCAAGCTATTTACAGCAACAGCCTAACAATACCACCATTTATATGAGTTAAAATAACAAAAGAACTCTCAGAGAATGATGAACCCATATGAATAATTTTACCTGAGAAAGCTTGCCGTTTTGAGATGCAGCCCATTCTCTTACTGCTGACATAGTAATCTAAGGAGAAAAGTACTACCGAATCAACAAGAGCTGACTTAACAATGATATTTAAAGAATACAGTAAACTTTAATTATGTTACCTCTCTACCAATAATTGCAATTGAAGGTACTGTCACTAACCATGGAACAGGTCCTAAGACAATAGCATCCATAGGTTTAGTACACAGCAAAATCAATGTTGCTGCTACCATAAGCTGCACATCCAAAAGAAGATAAAAATCTTTTCATCAGCAATTAAATGAAGATAAGGTGAAGGAAAGGAAGGGTCTTCTCTCTCACCTTATCTGCCACAGGATCCAAAAAAGCACCAAACGCAGAACCTAACCTCATCTGAAAATGCACAACATCTCTCTCTCTCTCTTACGTTCTTCCAAGTGTGGTAAGAAGAAATATCCATGAAAAATGAAGAGTCTACCTTTCTTGCAATATATCCATCAAGCCAGTCTGTAATGGCTGCTGCAATGAAAATACTCGTTGTGGCAGTTCTCCCCCACCAGCAATCAACGTAAAAGGCTGCATAGTAGTGGATTACAATTTAGATTATAAATCAAAAATATATATATACGGAAAGCTTACGACTTGAGTACTCAAAGCAATAAGCTCTATTCAAAAACTCTAATTTCAAAAAAACAGACAGAACAGAACAACAAGATAAAAACGTGTTCAATGTCGAAAAAAAAAACATCTTTGTCTGAAAAAACGTAGGTACAATTCAGATTATTAAATCAAAACATATACAAAAGCTTAAGACTTTCATGAAGGAAGGGTATAACAAGTGAACTCATAGCAATTTCTAGAAAAAAAAACAGAACAACCAGAGAACATGTGTTCGATGTCTGAATTTAAGCAAAAAAAAAAAAACATCTTGTCTGAAAACGGAACTAATGATCACACAATTCACTCCTCGTTTTAATTAGATCTGATGATTCAAACAAATCAGAAACCAAAGATAAACGAAAGTACTCGCGACGAGAATGGGGACGGCAGCTACACGTCCAAGGGTTAACACAGTGGGCAATGTCAGCACTTTAGAAGAAGATAGCTGTGGTGGCAATGGTGACGACGACGAATCAGAGCTATTCTGATCAAACGTCACAGCGTCTTCTTCTTCGTCTTCTTCTTCACCCATAATTGCTAGACGATCTCCGATGATTGATTGAGAAGCTAACGGTGGCGACTTATTGCCTCCTCCCCTTGAATCCGGAACCCTAAAGCTTTTTAATGGAACGCAACAACCGGCCAATCATAACGCAACTTCGATATTATGCTAACATACGCTAACGAGGTTAGGACGTATCGTGCGCCTTTTTGATGTCTATCCACGGTTATTATATAACCACGTGTCTTTTTTTGGTTTATGACGTGGAGTAGTTTGGGCCTTGTGGTGGTGAATCTCAACTTCAGAGTTGCAATCTCCTCGATATCTGATTTTTGGTGTATATTATTGACACGATGTTTGTTTATATGAAAATGATGGTATATGTACTCTTGTTTCTCGTAGAGATGTTAACCAATTTACATTGGGTGACTTGGCATTAGATATGGCAATCATGGTTTTGAACCGCAGGCCTAGCCCATAAAAAGAATTGTCGCAGAACAGTATTGGAACGAGATTTTCTATACTCGCAAATTTGTGGATCTCGTGGAATGGATCTTTGTGGGACTGGATCTTTTATGGGATGAGCCGAAGCAGGTTCCGCGGGATTACAAAGACCCATATTATTTTATTTTTTTATCTGAAAAAACGAGAGAATAAGTGAGAAGAAGACGATTCATATGAACTTCTCCTGAGAAAACGTAAGGAACTCGGGCGATGATGATGATTCTAGCTTCGGTGATAATGATTCGAGCTTCGGTGATGACCACTACAGCTCCGACGATGACGATTCGAGCTTCAATAGTGTTTTGATTTGGTTTCTCTTTTTATTTAATTTGGAATTGATATTTTTGATTTGGTATTTAAATTTTATTTAATTTTTGGATTCAACAAACTAAAATATTGGTTATGAACTTATAAGTTATAAAATAATGAAAAATATCTTCTGTAATTATTTTTACTTTGTATGTTAATATTTTTACTTTATGAGTTATAAGATAATTACAATTATTGTTTTGAATAAAAAACAAACAAAGCAATGATTGATGGATTATGTCCAGTTGAATCGACAACTATGTTCTAGAATAGTCTGAAGAGTTTTGGAGTGGCCTGAATCGTTCTACTGCGCGTATTATCACATGTCCCGCGAAAGCCTACAAAATTTGCGGTGTAGGATTGGATAGCTGTTTTTCAAGACCGCATCCCGCGCGAGACAGATCCGCCGCGTCCTGCTAGAAGATAAACCCACAGCGGTCCCGGGACGAGACGAGACGGGAGAACCTAATTGCCATCTCTACTTGATATGATGTTGTTTGTTTGAAAATGATTTATGTTTACTCTAGTTTCTAACTAATAAGAGATTTTACAATAGGTGGGAAAAAAGTCATCTCATATCCAACATATATTCAATACATATCTGATTTATATGATCATGCAAAAATATATTTATATTTTTGAAAAATTCAAATAACATATATATTGTTTACTTTTTACCAAATTATACACGAATCAACACATAGTTGTCATATCATCTAATTTTACTGTTGTGGATTCTACCTAAACTAATGTTGTTGACAAAGAAAACATAACTAATTTATAAAATAATATTTTTTTATAAAATGTAAATATTTATAAAAAAGCTAACAGATTCTAATATTTTTAGTAAAATTAACAAAACTTAATTAGCTTATATAAGAGATATATTTGTTATAATGTTTCAATCATTTCAATTATTCTTATGTTAATCTTGGCTTTGTTTGTATAGAAAATTTTTGGATTGGTTCTGTAATCATGAAAATAATTTTGTGTCAAAAGATTAAGGATTTATAATATGTTAATCTAAACTTTTTAAATGTAAACAACATTACCAAGATTAATCAAGAGTAGCACGAATGTAACACTAGCATCGAAACAGTATAACAAGTATATCTCTTATATAAGATTACAATTTATTATTAATTAAATTTACTAAATAATAAAAATTTATAAGTTGTCAAAAAATTATAAATGTTTATATTTTCTAAAAACAATATTTTTCACACCATTATTTTTATAAAATTATTATTTTAATTTTATTTGTTTTAAAAAGTTATTATACATGTGGTATCCTCATTAACAAAATTAGATGAAGTGACCGTTGATGTGCCGAGTAGTGTATGATTTGATCGAAAAATAAACAATAGGTATGTGATTTGTTTTTCAAAAGTATATGTATATTTCCGAACGGTTATATAAACTGAGTATGAATTGAACATATCAAAAATGGTCGTTTTCTGTATAACTAGTGGTTTGTCCGCGCTACGCGCGGAATGTATGTTTATCGTGTAACCAAATGTTTGGTATTTGATATTGATATTAGAAGTAAATATTCAGATTTTGTGGTGCTGAAATGGTAGTTAATTTTGATGATTACTTTAAAAATATTTATGAGATAATTATCACTTATGTACTGATTTTGTGGTGCTGAAATGGTAGTT